ACAGTCATGTTCTCTCCTGTTGCTAATGTTAAGACACTTGGGTTTTTGGAAGATGTTTCTATGTGTTCTAATAAGACACTTATAATCTCCCTACTTTCTGTATCTGTCAGGCTTGGCAGTGACCATGTGCATTTTAATGCTCTAAAAAGGGGGGCAATGTTTTAACTATGACCTACTGAACAGATGCTACTGATCATGCTTACTTTTCAGTTACTTAAATAGGTTCCCCACCCCTGCCCTACAGAAATATGTCCTGCAGGCCAGATCCGGCCCGTTGCTTAATTTCCTCCAGCCCACAGAGCAGGGTCGGGGCTCGCCCTGCTCCGCCTGCCCGGCGCAAGACCAGTACCCTGACCCCATTCCCCGGCTGGAGCGCTGTGCAGGGGGTCAGAGCAGGTGGAGGCCTCCCAATTGGCTGGGGCTCCTGGGCACTCCCCCTTTGCCCAGTGGCTAATCCGCCACTGGGAGTAGGGCAAGCAAGCAGGCGGCCCAGTGGCAGCAGAGGAATGCTCAAAAAATGTAGGCCTTTCCCTTGGGGAGCCAGGCCTGGTGTGGGGCAGTGGGACGGGAGCCGTTGCTGCTGGAGAGCGGCAGCTCCTCTTGGAGCTGGGTATGCGCCTGGGGCCCCCCATTTGGCTGGGACTACTGGGTCCATCATTTCTCCCCCCTCTTCCCCTCCTGCTCCCCACCCCCCCCCCACAAGGCTGGCTGGAGGGGTTGAGGGGGAGGTGGCCTCAATCCTTCCTGCCACCCCCCCTCCACCATCATTGCTCACCCACCCGAAGTCGGGTCCCACCCAAGTGTCCTGTCTTGGCTATGCCATTGGGCCGCCCACCCCAGAGCCAGGAGAGGACAGCCCCTCTTGGTCCATTCTGGGGAGGAGGCCCCACCCTCCCGGGGATCCTGCAGTTGGCTCTGGACCCCCCAGAAATGTACTGACAAACAGGGGAACTCAGAAGAGCCACATGACAGCACCAGAGTATGGTAGGGCTGATTTACGGCAAGAACCGCATCACAGCGTTGGATCCAAAGACCGGGGTAGTCAATGGTATGGGCTTTGGATCAGACCCTTGCTTTATATTTGTGTGTGGCCCGCAGTTGTTTGTTTTTTTTCTCTGTGGGTCAATGCCCCTGATAGAAAAAAGGTTACCCACCACTGCTCTAGGGGTTCTCAACTACTCAGAGTGTGGACCATAACTTAATAAAACTCATTTGTCCTTCCTATTCATGACTGTAGCCCACTTTTTCCCATTTGTGATCAAATATTCATGTGGCAACTAGCAATTACTCACATGGAGAAGTCCGATTAGGAAAGTGAATTTTTAGCTGTCTCTATTGCAATAGATTTTAGTCAGTCTGTTTTTAATCTAATCAGTCTGTTTTTGCTCTTCCTTTCTCTGTTCTGTTTCTTACCTACAAAAGGGTAATAAGCACCATATAACCAGCTCTACAAAGATGAGAGTATGGGAACCTCTTATACCTAATCTTTTGAAACTTTATTGTGGACATAAAATCATAGAAATGTAGGACTGAAAGGGACTTCAAGAGGGTCATCTAGTCCATTCCCCTGTGCTGAGGCAGGATTGAGTATACAGAGACCATCCCTGACAAGTGTTTGTCTAACTTGCTCTTAAATCTCCAAATATTCTACAGTCTCCCTAAGAAACCTGTTCCAGTGCTGCTATCCTTTATATTTAGAAACTTTTTTTCCAAATATCTAACCTAAATTTCCCTTACTGCAAACTAAAGCTGATTACTACTTATCCTACCCTTGGTGAACATATAAAGAGGACAGTGATTAATTATCTTCTAACTTTTTACATACTTGAAGACTTATGTTCCTTCAGTCTTCACTTCTTTACACTAAACATCTCCAGTTCTTTCAACCTTTCCTCATACATCATATTTTCTAAACCTCTCCATTTTTGTTTCTGTCCTCTGGACTCTCCAGTTTGTTCAAATTCTTCTTAAAGTCTGGTGCCCAAAACTGGACACAATACTCCAGCTGAGGCCTCACCAGTGCTGAGTAGAACAGAACAGTTTCCTCCCATTTCTTACATGTGACACTCCATATTAATACATCCCAGAATGAAACTTGACTTTTTTGTGGCAGCATCACTCTGTTGACTCCTTCAGTTTGTGATCTTCCATAAGCCCAGATACATTTCAGCAGTATACTGGCTTGCCAGTAATTCCCCTTTTTGTAGTTGTGCATTTTGTTTTTCCCCTTCCTAAGTGTAGTACTTTGCATTGTTTTTAACTGACTTGCATCTTGCTGATTTCAGACCAGTTTTCCAATTTGTCAAGATAATTTTGAATTCTAATCCAATCCTCCAAAGTGCTTGCAAACCTTTTCACTTTATCAACTGCAGATTTTATAAGTGTACTCTATAACATCATTCAATTCCTTAATGCAGGGGTGCGCAAACTGCAGCCCATAGGCCGGATCTGGCCTGCCAGCCATTTTAAGCTGGCCCTTGAGCTCCTGCTGAGGACCGGGGTCTGGGGCTTGCCCTGCTCCAGCACTCCGGCATTTCAGCCGGGGAGCAGGGTCGGGGGCCGCTCCATGTGGGTCCTGGAAGCCGCGGCATGGCCCCCATCCGGCTCCTGCATGCTCCAATCGCCCCCCTTTGATGCTTCAATGCACAGGAGTGGGAGAAGAGATATGCTGCTGCTGCTTCCCAGAGCCGCTTGAGGTAGTCACCACCCGGAGTCTGCACCCCTGAGTCTCTTCCCATGCCCCAGCCCTGATCCCACTCCCACCCTCCAAATCCCTCTATCTCAGTCCAGAGCACCCTCCTGCACCCCCAAATCCCTCATCTCCAGCCTCACCCCAGAGCCTGTACCCCAGCTGGAGCCTGTACCCCAACCCCTGCCCCAGCCCTGATCCCCCTCATGCCCTCTGAACCCTTCGGTCCCAGCCCAGAGCACCCTCCTATACTCCAAATTCCTCATCCCCCAACCCCATCCCGGAGTCTGCACCCCCAACCCCAATTTTGTGAGCATTCATGGCCTGCCATTCAATTTCTATTCCCAGATGTGACCACCGGGCCAAAAAGTTTGCCCACCCCTGCCTTAATGCAAACTTTGGGTAGTACCGGACCAACGACAGACCTGTGAAAGACATCACTTGATGTGTCCTTGTAGTTTGACAGCAAAACACCATTGTTAAATACTCTTAAAATACTCTGAAACCTCTTAAAATATAGTTTTTCAACCAGTTGTGCACTCACTTTATGGTAATTTAATCTAGACCCCATTTTCCTAGCTTGTTCAGGCAGTCTTTTGATTCTGTCATTTCCTAACACACCTGTGTCTTTGCAACCTTAAGGTTATTGTTTATGTAGTTGTTTTTGCTTGTAACTTACAAACTAATGTAGAATGCAGTATTGTAGCAGTGTTGGTCCCAGGATATTAGAGACACAAGGTGGGTGAGGTATTGTCTTTTATTGGACAACTTCTGTCTAACCAATTGATTCTTACTGTGGGCATGTCTACGCTTACCAGTAGATCGGCACTGCTGCAATCAATGCAGAGAGTGTTGATTTAGTGGGTCTGGTGAAGATTTGTGTATTTGTGCATTCCACCTCCCTGGGAAACATAAGGGAAGTCAATGGGAGACACTCTCCCGTCGACACAGTTCAGTGTAGCCACCGCGGTAAGTGGATCTAACTACGTTTGACTTCAGTTACGTTATTCATGTAACTGAAGTTGCGTAAGTTAGATCGATTTACCATGGTAGGGTAGACCAGCCCTATATCTGCTTGTGATTTGTAACTGTGTGTTTAAGTGCTTAGATGCTACTGTAGTGATTAGTAGTAGATATATACCTTCAATAGATTGTCTTGCGTAAAATGAAGATCTCTCTCTCTCTCAACTCATGGATCTCAGAATTATTTAAATGTTGTTGTCTTCTAGCATTCCTAACTGACCAATCACTGATTATGCTCCTTCCTGTTGTGCTAGACACTTCAAGATCCAGTGCAAAGTTGGTGTTGTAGAAGATGAGCAACTACTACCAGATAATACTCCCAGAATGAGGGAAGGCTAGGAGTCAGTTAATTTGAATCAAGAAATTTCCCACTACTTTAACACCATGAATGCGAGTTTCCCAAAATTTATTTGCAACAGCACATGAGTGTAAATTCACTTCAGGAATGGTTCTTAACAATCTTGAGGGGATAGAAAATGAGTCTTGGGGACCAGAAAGGAGCAACGACTCAGTCTTAGATTGGCTATGACAGAAGACATGCCACTTACTAGATTCTTTTTTGAAGATGTAGCCCACTCTTGCTCTATACTGGTACAGTTCCATTGATGGTAGTAAGTGTGGGTGTGCTACTGTAAATATGGCAGCAGGCACTCATACCATTGTTTTTGTCTAACAGATCTATAGGACGTGGTGGTAAAAACACCACTGGCTGCCTTAAACCCTAATGGAAAGACAATTACTACTACTGGCTTCAGAAAGGGAGTGCTACTGTAAGAAAGGGAGATTTCCCAAGAAGTCTAATGTAAACAGGAGCTGGCATTCAACTTCTTCATCCACTTGTAATGCAGCCTGCCATGTGCCAAGGAATACTCTAAAGATTATAGTGTGTCTTTGATGGTTGTCTAGTGTCTGTCTAAAAGTACAGATTTAGCTAGAAAGAATGTCCATAGTATCCATGTTGAGAATTTGTTTCAAAAACGGAAATCTTTATTAAACACATCTAGTTGTGAATTGACTGACTGTCATATCGGGGAACATAATAGCTAGTGCTTTTGATACGAACATTCCTTCTGCCTCCTTTAAAGGAAACCAGAGCAAGGAAAATGGTTAAGAATTACTGGTCATATGAGTAGAAATGGAAGTCTTCTCTAATAAGAGGTGCCACAGATAGTCCTGTAAGAGCATGGGTACCAACTAGATAAATCTCCTTGCATATAAGTGTCATATGCCTAACCAACTTTCTAGAATCTTTCAGACTTCAGCTAAGTAAACTCTGTTTGCTTTTTAGGGACAACACATTGTCTTCAAAACCTATCCCACAAGAGGGAGCAGAACCCTTCTGAGAAGGGCCCCAGTGTCTCATGAATGAACCAACGGATCTCGATAACACTGTTATTCCAGAGCCAGTCCTACGGCTCAGGAAAGGACACATGCCTGACAGTGCAGGACAGTTAAGCTATGATGATGACCACTCTGATGAGGGGCTCCTCTTAGAGGAGCCAGCTTTATCCTTGGACCTGCAAAAGGTAAGTTGGGTACCTTGAAACACTGCGAATGACTCTGGATAAATGAGGCTTGACTCTTAGATGCTGCATAATTGTTTTGGAATGTGTGAATTAAGGGCCAGATTTTTATAAGGTATTTAGGTCCTTTATAAATGGGATTGAAATGAGATTTAGGTACCAAGGTGCTTTTGAAAATCCCACTAGGTGCCTAAATACCTTTTAAAAATCTGGCCCGAAGAGCCTATAATCTTTGTTTTTAAAAAGTCTGTACTCATATAATGAAGCATAAACCTAACTGAAATATATAGTATACATGGGAAAGGAGGTGTGAGTGGGAAACAAAGGCAGTATGCTCTAAAAACAAACATATATGCAAACTTCCTACCCATCAAATACGTGGGACTAAGCTATATGCTTGGTCAACTGAATTGGTTCATGTTGGATGAGTGTCTTCATCATAAGCTAAAGGCCAGGAAGCTAATGGCCAGGAAGAAATATAACTGCAGCTCCTTTCTGTGCTTTAACAGCTCTGACTGCGAGGACTCCTGCTACTCTGTTGTCCTTGGAAGATGGGGACCACTTGGATAGTACTGTATAGAAAAATCAGCCTGTCCGTGGCACTGTGCCTTGCAGATGATGTCTGTAAACAGAAATGCTCTGGTTTGAGATGGGTGTGTACAGAAGCATCATTCAGTCTGCTGCTTGGCTACAAATTGGCTGTTAGTACAGACTTAACTGAAGAGGCTTACCGAATTCAGCTTAAAATATCCCTGCAACAAGGATGAAAAACAGCCAGTGCTCATTGCCCTTCTAAAGGATTGCAAATAAGCAAAGTCTGTTCACTATACAGAATTCTTTTAGCAATTATATACTTTCCTAGAAAGTATTTTGGGTATCACATGAGAACTTTTAGGACTCTGGTTCTATAATATAATAATATTCTGCCAGCTTGCCATTGTGTAGGTGGTCCTATAGACATCTGTTTGTCTTTACGCAGATGAAAGGTGTGTGGGGGGAGGGAAGTAGACTTACCTCCACAGCGTCAGCCAATGTCTAGTGTAAATGTTGCAGTGGTTACTGGTGGCATGTAGACTAATTTTTAGTGTTTAATTATTAGGGCTTCAGATTTGTCACAGCATTTTTATCAAAAATCATGGTGCAGTCACAGTAATTTTAGAAATGTCATAGGTTTAATGTGACTGCTCCATAATCGTTGATTTAAAAAACAAACCAAACAAAAAACCACAACCCAACAAATAAAATTCAGCTTTACCTCTTGAAAATCATAGCAGGCCAGCATTGGCTTCTTTTCCCCACCAAGGAGGCACCAACCATCTGTAGCAGCACCCTTCATCCAGGCACTGCAATCCTAATCCCAATCCAGGAGAAAAGGATGGAGTATGGGGGCTTGTGAGTGATCTTGCCCCACACTTACCCAGCAATGGCAATTCCTGTCCTGCAGGGTTGGGCCTGAGGTTTGAGAGCTAGCCTGACCCCCACTTGCCTCAGGCATGGTCAGTGGCAGCAGTCTCCTCAGAAGGCAGTTGGGCCAAACCTGAGCAATGCTGCTACCCCATGTTCCAGGAAAATAATGGCTATTTTACAGGCGGGGAACTGAATCACTGTAGGTTAAGTGACTTGCCAAAATATCTTAAATTGTTGGTAGAAGTTAGAATAAAATCATATAAAACCCACCATTCTTTACAGTGGGGAAAACATCTATTTAGCTTTATATAAGCTTATATTGAGCTTTCTTGGCTCAGCAGCACATATAATTTTCTCTTTTTAATGAGGTACTGCACAAACCTACGACCCTATATAAAAGTGCTTTTTTTCGAGGGACCTCTGTATATTCCCACTCATGGGATGTGCTGTCTGGTACAGTTCAGATGATGGACTCTTCTCATATTATAGCCTATTGGAGGACTCAGGTGCCCTTCTTACCCCTCCCTGTTGCATTCTTGGAAAGTTTTGAGGGAGAGTGTGTAAAAGGCACCATCTACCATGTTAATTCCATTCAGCTACAGCAGCAGACAGAGGTGAACCTCTTCATATCGATCAGACCCGTGTCTCTATAGAAATCTTTGCCTTACCAAGTATTGTTCTTAATGTTTTAGTGTTGGTTGGTTCCGATTTAGTTTTTTCTAAATCTTATTTTTAGCTTTGTATATTTAGTTCAGGTTTTGGTTCCAACTACTGGATTTATGGCAGATTCAAAAGTTAAAATATCTGACTTCACTAAATGAGCCTCTTGTCCAGTAGTCTTCCTAACATTCGGGGCCCATTACAAGGTGCTCTATCTGCAGCGCTCTTACCCCAAGGGCTTGCAAGGAGCCAGAACAGGATGCAAGTCTTATTCTTGCAGTGGAGCTCTGGCCACAAAACTTCCCATATCTGATGCATCTAAGGGGTCTGTATGTGAGGAAAAAGTCCATAGTTAGTGCCTAGTACTTCAGGGATAGAAGATGAAGAGCACTGTACAAAAAGTTCCAATTTCTTCCCCTGGATCAGGGTCCAAGAGTGAGGTACAGTTGGTTCGAGACTATTTGTGTCTGCCTCTGAATTTAGAGCTGAAGTGCAGGGATCCATTTACTTAGTTTTGATGTTTCCCTCTTGGTAACAGGGCCAACTTACATTTCATAATGACAGACATGTGAATTCTGGAGACCGTAAAAGATGGTTATGCCACTCAGTTTGATTCCCTTCCGCAACCCCTCCTTCCATCCCTATTCTGGAACCTGTATCTGAAAGAAGTGTACTTCCATATCTTTCACCAGGCACACAAATATCTTTTTTTCTGGTTGGGCAAGATCACTTCACTTCAGTACAAATTTTTATCTCTTGGTTTATCTGCTGCCTTCTGGGTATTTACAAAGTACCAGTCAGCAGTTGCCACTCATTAAGACACCAGGATATATTTATTAATCCTTATTTAAATCTCATCAGAAACCCTTTCCAAGGACATAGTTGACACATGTGCCTTTTGAAGAAATTAGTACTTTAAGACAGGGGCGGGCAAACTTTTTTTTTTTTTTTTTGGCCTGAGGGCCTCATCGGGTTTCAGAAATTGTATGGAGGGCCGGTTAGGGGAGGCTGTGCCTCCCCAAACAGCCAGGCATGGCCCGGCCCCATCCAACCCCCCTTCCCTTGCTGACTGCCCCCTGGGGACCCCTGACCCATCCAACCACTCCCCCCCTCCCCCCTCCCCAGCTTGCTGCCTGGAGCACTGGTGGCTGGCAGCACGGCTGCACCAGGACAGGCAGCCGCGCAGCACAGAGCACCAGATCAGGCTGGGCTCTGCTGCCCAGAGCATTGCGCCGCGCGGTGGTGTGGCGGCGGGGGTGACGGCCTCCCAGGCCAGGAGCTCAAGGGCCGGGCAAGATGGTCCCATGGGCCGTAGCTTGCCCGCCTCTGATTTAAGATAATCAAGAGATCTCTATTGCTACATATGCAAAGGATTCCCTTTATAGGAGCAGTTCTTTATTCTCCAGAAGGCAGAGCCTTTCTTCCAGGAAGACTTCTGAAGCTTGGCTCTGCCATAACACTGCTTTGTCAAAATCCCACTTAAAAATTCTTTCTAGGTCTCACGTGCCTCATGGCTTCATTCACATTATACTCTGCTCAGGCTGAAGAGTCTGCAGCATTGTCTGGCATTTAATTACAAACCAAATACAGACAGCACGTTTGCATAGCTGATCATCTCAAGAAAGATATTTCTATGCTTGACGTGGTTAACATTCTGAGGGGTACCTTTCAACTCTCCATCAGAAACAATCACTTTGGGCACCTCCAATGTGGATGGGGAGTGTATTTCAACAGATTAATTCACTGTAATTCTCAAGGGGGAAAAAAAACTATATATAAATATCACAGGGCAAGAACAAGGTGTAGTATAAGTTGTTGGACAATATGACAGTGATGGATTACATCAGGAAACGGAGGGATTTGCACTTCTGACTTGCAAAGAGGCAGTTGTGCTGTGGGATTGGGTGTTAACATCCTTCTTGCCCTACATCTAGCATGTAAGGACAACAGCTTGGCAGATCAACTGAGGACAGTGATAATGGAACTTCACAAATAGTCATTAAAGAAATAGGTGATGAGATCTTCAACCTGGGAGCGGTACCAGAACACAGATTTGTTTCTGACTAGATGTAGTTGCACAAGTTCTGCTCAGAACAGGACAAAACAGTCTGTCCATATAACATGCCTTTTCCTAGACTGGGGGGGGGCAAATTTTTTGACCAAGGGCCATGTCGAGGAATAGAAATTGCATGGCAGGCCATGAATGCTCACAAAATTGGGATGAGGGCTCTGGATGGGGGTGTGGGCTTTGGGGTGGGGCTGGGGATGAGGAGTTTAGGGTGTAGAAGGGTGCTCTGGGCTGGAACCAAGGGATTCAGAGGGGGATCAAGGCTGCGGCAGAGGTGCAGGAAGGGGTGGAGGTTCCAGCATGGGGTGCGGGCTCTGGGGTACAGGAGGGTGCTCCGTGTTGGGATCAAGGGGTTTGGAGAGCAGGAGGGGGATCGGGGCAGGGGGTTGGGGCATGGGGAGAGGCTCAGGGTTGTGGGCTCCAAGCGGTGCTTACCTCAAGAGGCTCCCGGAAGCAGTGGCATGTCCCTGCTCTGCCTCCTACACGAGGAGCGGCCCCCAATCCTCGGAGCGGGGCCATGCCGCGGCTTCAGAGAGCTGCATGGTGCAGTCACCGACCTGGCACCCCAGAGCGGGGCCGAGCTGTGTGGTGCGGCCGGCAGGCCTTAATTTGCCCATCCCTATCCTAGACTGTAGAAAGTCTTCTCTTCCTTTTCCACCCTTCCCTCTCATCCAGGAAGTGATAAAGAATAAAACAAAAGGAGCCAGAATAGTTTTGGTTTCCCTAGCACCAGGAAGGCAACAGTGTTTCTTTGATCTTCTTCACCTATTTAAGGGAGATCTGTGTCCCCAGATTTAACTTGACGGGAGGACAGAATTAATTACCTGGATGCTCTTGCTGAACTCCCCATTCTGCAAGGGGACAACAT